TTATATTTTTATAATCTTGTTCAGTGCTCTCAGAGCATGCTCTTTTAGTGCTATTTATATTACTAATGAAAAGGAGTGTTTAACATCAAAGGCTGTTGTGCTTCTCATCTTTAAACATGATTTTTTTTATCTTTTTGACAGGACATCATTTAAAGATAAAAATATAAAATAAAAAAATAAAAAATAAAATAAAAATATATAATAAAAAAATAAAAAATAAAATAAATAAATAAATAAATAAAAATTTCTTCAACACATCTCAGCTCCACCTGGGATCAGTCTGTGGGTAGGTTAAAGATTACTGACTATATCAACTACACCTTTGTTGGACTCAGATTACTTTATTTATATACTGTAATGAGTTACCAATTGGTTGTGTTTGTCACATTGGAATTTTAAGAATTATGCCTGAAATATTTTGTCAAGTATGAAATTGGCAGGGAGTTGTCATTGCGATTTAAGACCTCAAGATTGATCCTGGAAAAAAAGTGTCTCATTTTAACTCCATGTATTAATTTATAGATTCTGTTTCGATTGAGATCACCTGTAAGACTCTGGAGTATTAAAATGGTACACCTTGGGCTATGTTGTCATTGACATAGACGACTGAATGCCGAATGGAAATTACAATATGATGAAAAACGAAATATCATATATAAGCTTAAACCAATGTCAGAACTGAGGAGGTCAAGTGCAGTTCAAATTCACGAAATATCATGATTTAACCTGATGAACAATCAAGAATACAATTTAAAACCAACGCGAATAAAACTGATAGTGAATTCTAACGCTTTGTTTACAATAATAATTGTAATAAGAAATAACTTAAGTAACACATGGTTGAATCTCGAAGTACAACATTTTCGACACAATAGTCTTGTAAATGTACAAATAATATGTAACTAATTACCTTGCAAAGAAGATATGTCTTGACACAAATCGAATACGTTCAATTTTTGTCGAAATCAATAGCAGACAGCTTCATTATAGGTCTGTTGCATGTTCTGCCTCTCCCGAGATCTTCATGGCCGCAGTTGGACATGACAAACTCGCTCCAAGCTCCCCGCGTCTCCCTTAGTACTAATTAAAATTGTATTTCGAATGACTGTACAGTCTTTAATACACGTAATGTAAAATCCTTTTTTATCACAGATTTGGTATTCACTCAGTACAAACTCTAACTCTTTCGTTTTCTTGAAGTTGAAATTAAAACTATATTAGGTACTACACGGAATCCATCATAGACATTTTGTACTTTATACTATAGGATGTGTTGACTTGTACTTCCATTATTTTCTATAATTTTTTTGGGCTACCTGTGTCGGCGCCCGCAATCACCTGCCTGTCTGGATGGAATACCACAGGGATCCCAAAAACCTGATCCGATCTGACAAGTGCGTCAGCCGATTATTCTCCAGTGCAGTAATGAGGGTCGCATTTGTTTAGACTGTTGTGTGTCGCAAGTACCGTTAATTTTCGAGTAATTTCAAGAAAAAGAAATCGAAAAGTTATCCCCAGACYCCGTCCTTTAGGCCATKTTTCCTAAAAATGCTCCCGGAAGCWCCTGAATCTGTTGATTGAATTGTATTTATGGAAATGCCAAATRCTAAGGTCTATTTACAGCTAGGCGGAACRCCGAAACTTCAATATGTGTCAAGTCGGCGACTTTCGACGGCAACAAAGTAATGTTGTATAATAATACGATAAGCCGTATCGAAGTCTGAGCTCATCATACGTCAAAATAAAGGTAAGGCCTTGAATTCAGACAAGCATACCAATGTTCCAACTGTAAAAACTAAAAATATTGAGAAACTCCCGGAGATACTGCTGAGAAAATGATATTTTTTTTCAAATATTTTTGAATATCAGAGAAGTTAGTATGCGGAACTGAATAATATTTTTTTTCTCGACCGCTCTTCAAGACTAAAATTTCTAATTATAAAMCCTTCTTTTTTTTCTTAAATATTTCCAAGCAATAAACGCCTTTATCGTCTACAGTAGTCCAAAAAAATAATAATTKCCATAGTAGAAAATTCACAGATTAAGTGTTTATTATTCCTAAAAGTGCGAAAAATTTAAACTTAGAAACACCTCAAACGTAGTGTGGCCCTTTTTTGAGGTATAACTAACGCCGTTTAATAAACACTAGGTTAGAGATAAAATCTAATTCATGATAAAATGCTCTTCTCTAAATACCATGMTGCAAATATGTTTCATAGATAACTTCTGATGGTGACTTCTGCTGCCCTCGATTCTATACCTTTATGGTGTKTGAGACTCGAGTAATCTGAACAATTAAACCATTATTTACCCTTGACACCTATATAAATAAATTCTTTGGAAATAGCGGGTACTATTTACATGGTTTCTAGACGATGCAGGAATAATAATTCAGACTTTGGATACAAAGGAAAGACCTTGTGATATTATATTAGCGCTATAGTGAGTTTATGCAAAAAAGTTCGTCTTTAAATATTTATGTCATAAATAGTAAAAATAGAGCTCTGTGGTCGGACTGGTGGACGTTATTTCACAATTTTTTKAGGGTTTTGTCAATTAAATGTGGATTTAGGAAATCACAACTAATTTTTGAAATAGTTTTAAGAATCCAATGATGAACATTGCATAGCAAGTTACGAGAACACTCGAATGACACCTGCTCTTGGCGATCGTTCACTGTATGTCAATACATTTGTCATCCAAACTTTGAATAACAGTTTTCAACAGAAAAAGACAATTTTGAAATAACAAAAACAATACTTTATTAATTATTTTCATTTCATCTAAAAGTTACCTGTTGGTTAGTTRATTCAAGTCGTCATTAACTGATTCTGGTAATCTATGAAAACTTTTTAAAAGCTTAGTGGAAAGGAAAAATTAAAGTTTATGAAGCCTCATATTCGAAGTAATGTTATGAATGATATTTTAATATAAAAGAGGTAATTTCGTCTAATTTACGAAATTCATAAATTTTACACAGTAAAAGGAAAAAAAGGAATTTCTTAAATGTTCCTCGTTTGACGATAAAGTCCAACAAAGCAGAATTTTCCGGGAGTGTTTCATCCTTTATGGTGTAGAATTTATCATATGACTTATTTTCTTAGAAAAACGTTGCAGCTCATGATTTTCACGCACTAAACTATAATCAAATGACCGGTTTTGATAAACCAAAGACATTCTTTTTCAATTGACTTCAAGGAGGCCATGTTTGTGATTAATTGCACAGTATATTCCTAGTCAGTATCTCTTGTTCACACCCCAAACATGGCCGCCCATCTTTTGATGATTRGAAGACAGCAATTGAAAGAAAGCACTACATTTAACCCGTGAAACACTAAATGCTTGTAGATATAGTGCTATTTCCGTTGAAACAAMGAAAAAAATAAAAAGTATCGCCTATTAACTAGATAGTCGTCCCCTAGCCATTTTTGGGTAAAGTGCAACAATTGTCACTGTCGCTATAGTGTTATTCTCTTTSACATGCTCCATCTTGGAAGAAAACCTTTCCTTTACAAATTCTTATTATTATCTTATTGCAAAATTGCAATAGTCTCCTTCACGGTTCCCTGCGCCATATTGAAAGGTAGCCGTGCCTTTACATCAAAGCGAGACAACCTTTGAGCTACAATGCCTTGCAATGATATGTACATGCGAATAATTGTCTGTAGTGTGAAAGAAGCTTTCTATCATTGTCATTGCACGCTCTACGCTCGTCTCGCTTAGATGCAAAGGCAAGGTTACCTTTCAAAATGGCGCAGAGAACCGTGGAGGAGACTATTGAGCGAATCGACTGGAACAATATCCAGCTCATTGCACGAAGTTCTTTCGGCCCACTTCAATAAGGTCGCACTGCATGGAATTCTAATGTTCTGATGTCATTTTGCAAGAGATATTGAAATGATTAGCTGTGAATAAAAAAATCGCCGTTTCACGCCGTGATACTAGTGGTAATATATTAAAAGAAGTCGATATTTTGGAGTGTTTTATATTCAAGCATTAATGAGCAAAGTGAGAGTTGATCTTACAATAATCCATCGGAATCCCGGAGTTTGTGAGGTAAGAATTTTGAGCAGACCACACTTTTTGTATTCCATATCTACAGTCAAATGCAAAAATATTCGTCAYTTTGAATTGTATATATCTTATGAATATGGAGAAAATTACTAACCACTATTTCAATTTTGMACTAGACAAAGCGTAAAGTAGTTTGGGGTGTACAATTCGAGCAAACCACGTTTTAACTCAATACTGCCTAACAAATTTGCCTTGTAACATATCTTTTGAATTCCGCAATTCTAAACACATACAAATTGTAAGGTTACTCTATAGTCTTTGATGAAAGTCTTAGTTAGAACAGAACACAAAAACGCAGAAAACACTAATAAATTGTCCGCTTTGTTTCCAATTTGTAAGTAGCCAAAATATTAAGTCGTAGCATTGAAACGCCGGGAATGTACGCTTATGTCAACTATAAAAAGTTACTTACACGAATAGTAAACAATTCAAATATACCATCAGTTGCAAATCAAGTTAATTGTGTATTAAATATTGACTCTTTTTCTTCGCAATTTAGTGTTCCACTTTTTAAAATATTTTTGCTGTTCATTATAATTATAACTAGACAGTGTCATTCGACATGTCCGACCTTGCACAGCATGTGATCATGTTGACGTCACTTAATTCGATTAGTGAAATTGGTGGGAAGTGATGAGCGTGTAGAATTGACTTACAAACAAATAGAAAAAAAAGGAAATATCTTACTATATACTGTATAATCAAACGTTTTTTACGCTTCGAAACCAATAATTACACCAAGCTATAATTTGCGTAGTAGCTGCAAATTTGATATATTGTAATTATTTAGTTTTAGGCGAACACGCCCATATACTAATTAAGGAAATAGATAGAAACGGTTTATGAATATTATATGAAAATAAGATAACTCGCTAAGAGAGGGAATATTCTGAATAAGATTGAAGCCAGGTGATAAAATAAACTTGAGTAATTTGTTTTTTAAACGCTTGAGAAATCATSGTGGATTCAGTTTAAGCTCAATGCGGTTTTTAATTTGTGGTGCTGTAGTTCTAACGCAGGGCGTTATTTCACGGCTTTAAGGAGATGAGAGCAATCGTAGCTCATCCTTAAACAAACGATAAAAGAACATCCTATATATATATATAGAGAGAGGACATATGTAATTATATGATAAACAGAATATTACATGGCGCGGAGATACGAATTTTATCTTTGAGTGTTGAAAAGATCTCTCACGAGTGAGCGTGAGTGAGAGATTTTCAACACGAGAAGATAAAATTCGTATCTCCAAGCGACCATGTAATATTCTGTTTATCATATAATTACATATGAAAGCAAATTATGTCATTGTCTGAATAATATTCCGTTTTTTTCAGGACAATAAATTCCTTTTCACTAGAGTACAAATGTTTTATTTCTCCTTGACAACGTTTTTGCAAATTAAGATTATGCCATACATCACATTCATACTAACTAATTCAGTATAGACCACAAATACAACTATTTCATCGACTTTCTGAGCAATGTAATGGAATATAAATTACAAGCAAAGTTATTGAACAAATGAAATATACTTAAAATATACTTAAGACTAAGCATGATACAACATATATAAGCTATCCTTAATCATAATATATATTAACTAATAATAAATTGCCTATTTGCTCTGCTACCGTTGCTGGAATAWTAGATTTTTGAAATATTATCCACCATTTTGAGTGTCGAGAGAGGACTGGGTACAACCAAAAATATTGTTTTATAATCATCCTTTCCTAAAAGTCTTTTTCTTAAAACATTTTCTTAAAACTCCTTTTTCTTATAAAGAATATAGGAATAGAATAATACTAAGGGTCTACTGACGAAGAAAAAGTTGACATTCCTGGCATGCATAGGAAGATAATAATAATAATAATTATTATTGGCACCAATCATTTTCATCAGTGAGTGCTTTTCATTYGTGCAGTGCTTCCCAGTGTCTTAAAGACACCACGTAGTCGTAATAGTCTTTGAGTAGCATATCATTTCAAAATTAAATTGGCAAAGTTTAAGGATAATTGGATTAGTGAACGAATACGGATGAATGTGCGCGCAATCGATGTGATCCGATGTGTYTCCGTAGCAGAGTGTTGATATAATTGGCCTTGCCTACTAGCGAGTATTAAGTGATAATTGAATTTCATACAATTATACATTTCTTCAAAATATACCATTTTATCGTTTGTTGTGAGCAAACAGGAACTTTCCGTTTAATCGGGTATATTATTCCTGATTTGATAAGTATTAGCTAAAAACATCTAGATATCTAGTTCAAAATTAATAAGCTATTTTATCTGATGTTGAAGAGAAACAGCTACGAAATATCAAAAGATATATCTATGACCTATCGCTAGTATCATTTCTCCTTTCCTTATGTAATTGATTAGAGATAAAATCACTCAACTAGTCATTAAGGCTAGAAAAGACAATGCCAGATTCTCTTTTACAACGGCTCCATTTTGAATATACCAATTTTGTAAGCATTATTGGCACAACAATGAGACATTTTCAAATCAAAACCTGGCCAGTTGTGAACCGCCATTAGGGAGGATTACGCTTCGGTTTTTCWCTATCTTCCCCCTGCATGGGACCTTCGCCAAATCTTCTATATTTTTCAGTTGTTTTGGGTGAAGCATAGATTATTATCCAAAGCCGCCAATAACGTATTGAAAACCCTCTAGATCAATCCTCTTGTAATCCTGAGGAACAATTGCTTATGACCTTCMAAATCCTTGCTAATGTTAAGTTTAGAACTGCTGTTTGCATATAATTATCATCATTGTTTTGGCACATTATTATCAAACAGGTTTGAAACAGCCAAAGAGAGACCTCGTCGGCTTATCTATAATTAACCAATGTTTTGTAATATCACGGCGACTAAGCCATCCGATATATTCGAGGAAACTTTTGGTTTGTCCTTAAACTCAAACATTTGAATTATATTAGTGAATCTGGGCTGTGTTAGAGACCAAGTGGTGGTTATTAAGATGTCTTGTTTGCTTGTTGAAAGGTAAGAAGACTCAAAAAATAGAGTGCTAACGGGTGGCGGTATTTTTGCATTCACAAATCCTATCCATTGAAGCGGGGTTCGCTACATGCGCTGGTTTCAAAATCGTATGCTGCGTACTTAGTATTAAGTTCTTGACTGTTGTCGGAAACTAACTGAGGCCTACATATTCTTTGGCACTGTTTTCAAAGAAGTTTGTCGAGAAATCAGCGAATCTCGACAATGCGGTAAAGATGATTTTGTATTCGGTTTCAAATGCATCAATCAAAACCGCGATAAAAATAGTGTTGAACTTGTTGGCCCGACAAAGCAACGCTCCTTTAGAAACACAAATCTATTCGCTTACTAGCACATGATGAATAAGTTAAAACTCAATTTATTTTCCACTGGTATAAAAATCTGTTTAATTTTTGTCACAGCTTCTTGTACACACTTCATACATCTTAAAACACTTTGATTCAGTCATGATCCTTACAAGTCATTTTGGAAAAAAGAGCGCTTTCAATGGACAATCTGTGACAGCTGGCACATAGTTAATTCCAAGCAAATTTGCACCTTCAGCGATATACACTTTAAATCCAATGATATTAGTCAAACATCAAAGCTCTGGATCAGTAACACTTATCTCACGTAGCCCTAACAAGTGTCTTTGTTTTTTGTGGCGAATTGATTTTTCAGTTTCAATTCAAATCTTATTTAGTGGATTTTTAATTATAGATCCGAGTTTATTTCGAAACCAAACGCAAAACAAACCTTTGTTTCGTTAAATCTTTAGCCCTAGGAGCTTTCAGTAGGGAACCGGTCCATTTTCATTTACAATGAGGTCGAATAAGAGATGCTAATGAGAGTGAACGAGCTGGATAAGATGTTCTAACCCCATTTCCTTGCAGTGGAGAGCTCTGCAAGGATATAACTGATTTGTAATTAAGACTTCTAATTCTGGATTCAGTATTTTCGATACCTTTTTTGTACTAATGTTATTATTAAGTGCAATGATTTGGGTTGTGTTTAACGAAGACTGTATTGCTTACATTTTCCATCAGTGTCATGAGCGCTCATAATTTACCACAATCAAACTTTTGGCATAAATAGATTCTACACTTTACGTAAGCAAAATTGTAAATCTTGATGCTTTATATCGAAGTAAACATTGACCGACTTTGCCATTTATATATTTTTTTGTATTGACACATATATACTATTTTAATACAACTCACGTTGGAAAATTATMATTTGTCCAAAAGCTAAAAGAAAGTGAGCTATTTGTGTACACATCTAATTGTTACAACGTTGTCATAGAGAAGTAAAACATTTGTACTTTAGTAAAAAGCAATTCATTAAAAAGACAAAGGAAGATCACTCAGGCCCAAGGCTTTCTTTTGTCTTTTTCTAATGTATTCCTTTTTACTGAAGTATACGTTTCTTTATAAATTTATATAGATCTACACCTTGACTATTCATTTTACATTAGGTCTACCCCATACAGCGTATTTAACATAAATTTAAGAAAATTCACGAATCAAATATCTATGTGAAATACACTGTATGGAACTGCGAATTTGACAGGGTTTCATTCGACTTTAGTCAAAAATACTCAGCCAAGATGCATCAGTTGTCTGATTCCATGTTAAAAGCACCAAATAYARTAAACAATTAGGACAGGGCTATAWTAAACACATGTAAAATACGCCGTCAGAACTAGGCTAAAAATATCATCAGTCATTGCGCATTAATTTTTACAAGAAATTAACGAAACACACAATTTCAAGAGCGTTTATCGAAGATGGCGCTCATTCCCTATAGGTTCTTTACCACTACTAAAAATGAACCATTTTTGAATTATTCAAATTGCGTTCTCAGTGATTGCTCTAGTATAATTAAGTGCGTATTCACTAAAACACCTAAATTCTGTTTACATTACTTGAAATAATTAGWGTCACGGATGAGTACTCTCTCGTCGTTTTATTACCCACAGTTGTCAGTGGTCTCGCCCATCTTTCGTACAAGCTTCTTTTAAAATCGCGTTAAAAGTTTCTTCTATATAGAATTCTATTTTGATTCCTTKCTTTGTTTACGAATATTTATTTTACAACTTAATCGTTTTAATGATTGAAACTCTCATTTCCTATATTTTGATAATGGCATGAAAACATCCCTTCCTTCACGAATAGACGACTAGAAATCTTGTTTACGTTTGCGAAAACGCATGTCTTATCTCTTGACGTAAGCACAAGCGCATAGAATTTTTTCGGAGGATTTGGGGTAGGGGGGGGGGAGTAGTCCCTAGGTCATGAGAAAGGTGCATTATTCAGATGTCGTGGAATGACGGAAGTGACGTTTGGCCTAGCGTCGACATGATAGTCCAAATTTCCATTGTCTGAGCTTCCACAGGAGTTTTTCAACAATAAAAAGCGTGTTTGGGGGTGATTGGGACGATTACATGGACACTAGGCAACAACGTCATCCAGTMRGGTCGAAAAGCCAAATTCTTCTAATGAATATCTTGAGGGCATTCAGCACACTAATACTTGTAAAAAGAAAAATAAGGAAAATTTCGTGAAAGACGGTTGATCCAATGCACAGAATCAAGGTCACTTACTCTTATTAAATTATTTTCTTGAGTTAGGAACATGAAAGATTGTGTGAAAAAAATGTGCCTAAGGAATTTTAAGTCCAGCAAATACAAGATGGCCGCGATCACAAAGATAGCGAAAAGCCCATCCACTTGGCATTTATAAAATTATACCAATATACCCACTCACTATTCACATTATACCAATATACCCACTCACTATTCACATTTAATGTATTTTGATTGCTTACTGAATTAAATTGACTTAAAATACTTAAATGTTTCATAGGAACAAATTCTTGCCTCGAATCCTAAGCCTATTGGATTATTGAGGTATTTTTAGATTTAAGCCTTTTTGACCATAATTTACGTAGATACTAAAATTCGTCCATTACATCAATGAATTCGACTAAAGAGATGGGAAGGACACTTTAGGTACAAAACTTGATTATAAAAAAACAATGCATAGTTGAACACTAAAAAAAATCCGATGCACAATTGCAGAATACTCTTAATTCTTGTCAATATAAACTCATTTTGACACGTGGAAGTTTAAGGCTCCTTTATASAGGCGGTTTTTGTGGCGACTTAAGTTGCCATTTTTTCGGGCGATTTTCAAAAATATAATAGATTTTTTCTAATCCTTCTGAGATGTTTAGTTCGCTCATCTCAATGTAATGAATAAAAGTTTACAAAATCGTTCATTAACATTATTATCTAGGATTAAAACGACCACAAAAATCGCCGAAAAAATCGCCGGTGTAAACTGGCCTAGAGATAACTAATCCATCCTATACCTAATCTATTGGTATTGATCATAGCATAGAAAATGCGGAGAAAATGCTAAATTTGTACATTGTAATTATAAACAAATACGAGAGTAATTATTTCGCARTAATAATACTCCTATACAAAAACATTGCAAATAATTATCTGCATAGATTCCTCAAGTTTKAGTTTCTTCCAATTCCTAGTTAACTAGGAATAAACGAAGTATAATTCTACAATTGTGAATAGAGCTCTCCACGTCGTTGTTCTACTGTTTTTGTGGTCTTTTGGCACCTATGGGTTGCGGTCAAACTGCATTTTACTTTCACGTGATCAATATTTATAAGTGGGCTGGTTATCGCAGTGGGCTAGTACGCAGACCTGCTATTATCCTGCAAGCCAAGCGTTTCTCGAGTTTCAATTTAGAAAATTCCCCTAAATTTTACTATAATCAAAAGGGAAAAAAAAACCGAACAACTATGTATTACTACAGCGGCGCCTATTCTATTTAGTTTCTCTTTGAAGCGCTTAATTAATAATCAAACTACGCCGTTTTCAATCAATTTTCTTACGCAAGCATAAGAAAGGTGRAAATGAATGACGCACAAATTGCCCACTTTCGATATATTCTTGCTGCACTAAACCGCGCACAACTGAGAACGAGTTAGCTAGCTATCAAWTGTTTTCCCTTAGCCTCGTTTTTAAATATTTTGTTTATGATTAGGCGGCAAAAGTAGCTGATTTATACAATAATTGGTCCGAACTGACGAGATTCTCATCCATGAATCCATCCATGAGTTTTTCCATAGGCAAGAGGCACTCAGAATGGACCAATTGCTGTATATAATAACCTATCCGTGAAATTTCTAATCGATGAATTTTATAGTCAGTTATAATTTACATTGTTAATGATGACAAACACACACMAAAACARTCATTTTCTTGTCGAAAGAGARAAATATYTCTTTACTGCCGAACCAGCCGTGTAATTTGCGTGTGCCCATGCATATCTTGTCAAACTRAAGGTCGATATATCCAYCTAAACGTCTGTTATTGATCGTAAATATAATCAAGTCGTTTAATGAACAAGAAAATGTTCACAGTCTTTTTAGTTTTGTGGACCGGTAGAGCTTGGTATCGTAGATTTTTGACATATTTTTGTGTTATTTTTCTAGTGATAGCTGTGGATAGCAAGAAGAAACATTGGACTTCCTGCTAAAGGTGGCAAACGCCAAAGAACATAAACCCACTGATGCATTATGCTCAGTATCTCGGCATCTCGTGGTTCTTAYCCCACTCAACGACGACAAAGGGCTCGAACAGCCCCAGCAATACCAATAGAATCATTCAGCCCTTCACAGAGAAGAAAATTAAAGAGAGGTGTTAAAGTTGTCATCAATGTCGGAGGCAGAAAATTTATCACTTGGAAAGACACCCTTCGTCGTTTTCCAAACACTTTACTCGGAAATGAAAGATTATCATCGAARTTTTACGACGAAAATAGGGGAGAATACTTTATAGACAGAGATCCACATCTATTTCGATACATTTTGAATTATTATCGAAGTGGGAAACTTCATCGATCTTTGGAAGACTGTAACGAAAGTTTTGAAGAAGAGTTGCTWTTTTATGGCATCGCACCACACGAAATACACGACTGCTGCTTTGACGAGGACCAAGAGCAGGAGCAACAGGAAGCAGAAAAGAAGAAAATGGCTGAGGAAGCCACAAAACCAGTTTACATTCCAGAAACATACTTTGGAAAGTTTAGGAACTATATTTGGAGATTACTCGAAGGGGAGCTAGAAAATGGCCCTGGGGCCGTTATTGGCATGGGTTTTATCTACTTTGTCGGATTATTCATTATTCTTAGCATTTTTACAACAGTCTACGAAACGGTTCCATGTAACGACGGAGCAGAGGCTTGTAAACAAAGAACTCGAATTCTTGATCTCATAGATGCTGTTTGCATAGGAATTTTTACCTTCGAGTTTACGGCGCGGTTTCTTGTCTGTCCTGATTACAGACAGTTCATTAGAACACCAATGAATATTATCGATTTTTTCTCGATTCTTCCTTTTTATGCTAGAATTGTTCTACAATCTATAGTTGGCTCAAATTTGGAAGCTTTAGTGGTACTTCGAGTGTTGAGAATAGTTCGTGTTTTTAAACTTTCCCGGCATTCAAAACGACTGCAGAGATTTGGAGCCGCCATTGCTTCATGTATGCAGGACCTGATGTCACTGGCGTTTGTTCTTCTTGTGGCAGTATTATTGTTTTCCAGTTTTTTGTATTTTATCGAACAAGGAGAAGTGGAAGGAATGTTCACAAGTATTCCAGATAGTATGTGGTATACAGTGGTCACCATGATAACCCTTGGGTAAGTCACTAAAATAATGAGAGGGAGTCCAGTRAGGGCAAAAATGCAGCTTAGATTTTGGAAGTCCTATCGGAAAGGTAATAATTGGAGCCTGGATTTGCTCATCTTTTGAAAGCCCTGCGAGGGGATAAATTGTAAGGAGAGGCGAGCGGGAGGTTTGCAGTCTTCAGTGGCGGATCCAGGGGGGGTTCCATGGATTCCTAGGAACCCCCCTCAAGCATAAAAAAATAAAAAATAAAATAAATGATAAATGAAATAAAATGAAAACGCATCGTACAATGAATTTGTATTCAATACATTCACACTACATTTGCTACAGTTCGAGAGGCACAGTAAAAAAGTTTGTTTTAGGAAAATGCGAAAACAAAGAGGAACCCCCCTTTGAAAAATCCTGGATCCGGCTGCTAGTTGTCGTTTGTAGTGTTGTTGTTGTTGGTGGTGTTGTCGGTGGTGATATCACGAGGATTGAGGTCTTATGAGATGAATAATTGAAATCTTAAAAATACATAGTTGATTGACTTATTGGCTAATTCACTTTTCTGATCTGCTTCAAGCTACGGTGATATGGTCCCGTCCACTATCCCTGGACAGTTTATTGGCGCTGTGTGCTGTGTGTCCGGTGTTATCCTCATTGCTCTACCAATACCTATCATCCAAGAGAAGGACATCTTCAAGAAAAACATGCTGAATGTTTACAATGTTGACGACTTGAGGAAAAAGATTGATAAAATGAAGACAGGCACTTCAGAAGATGATAACGTTTAACAAGAAAAGCTGCTGTTGCCGTTGGTAAATCATTTGTCTTCGTGTGAACACTTCGTGTCTTCACTTYTGTAATACAGGCTTACGCACGATACAACTTTTGCCAACATCCATCCCTTGCAACATGCCTAAGTCATCCTTACGAAATGGCTGCAATCATAATATGGCTTTTAAACAATTATTTTTAGTCTCTACGACATCCATGTTGTAAAGACGACTTCGGCAGGCTGCATGYAATGCTTGTTAGCAAAACTTGTGCCGTCTAAGTCGGTCATCATTTCCAAAGGGTCTACCTTACAAAACACGCGTCAAAATTACATTCAACTAAAAAAGTTCCCCCCCCCCCCCCAAAAAGCAAAAAAAAAATCAGCATTAGGATCTAAAGCGAGAATATGAAAATGCAGTCAAGTAAGCAGCTGCAACTTCAAAGTGTGATTCGGCCATGATTTAATGCTCTGATCATCTTTRCAATTTTATATTTCTGAGAGAAAGGTCAAGCATTTTCACAAGTCTACTGCTCACAATAACATATCAATTAAGGTTTCCAGGACTTGTAACCCTTCATTTTTTTTAAAAATCCTTCTGCCTGCAGAAAATCTTAAAATTTCTCATAAAATTTTCTCAAAAATATTTCTCTTAACTAATGGAAAGAAAATATTTTGCTTTGACCTTGGTTGTCACTTTCCTAGTTATCAAACTACACAAATAACATTGGAAATTTAGTTAAGAGTTTTCTAAGAATTTACGACAGGATTCAGTATTCTATGAAGAATATAAAACTGCAATTTATATTTGACCCCTTGAAAATATTTATTTCTACAAAGTTTTTTTTTACAAAGTTTGTTCATATCAAATTTTTATTCGATACTTCTTTTTCTAGAAGTTGTATTCTTAACGGTTAAAATTGTTTGAGTACCATTGAAAGGTCCTATAGAGCTGTGTTATTCAATAATTCAAATATAAGTGTGATTTCTCTTGACTTCAATGGTCTTCTAGAACCGTTACGAAATAAGGATTATTCCATCAGGCAGAAGCTTACCAAGGGAATTAAAACGCATTTAACAAATCTGGCGTATAACGTGCTTAGAAAATCGTCTTGAACATAAAAGCCTATTTGGGGAAACAGAAGTATATTAAGATCTGGGGTGCTTTCCATTCGACAGAACTGACTGGCCAGATCCAAAGATTATTTCATTATTAATGATTCCAATTCAGTTAGAAGAATGAATTTCTAAATTCAATTCATGAGAATAGTGAAAAACTTGAAAAATTAATGAAAACTCTTGACAAAAGGTTTGATCGGTCAGTCCGGCCAGTTCCGACTAAATGGAATTCGCCCCTGTTCACAAATTCAAGATCCGTCTCCAAACGACATGCATAGATTTCAGACAACTCAAAGCTTGTCCATGCATTTCATTGGAATTGTTAGTGTCTWTAAACAGCTGTAAATCGTGAACTGTTGATCTGGTTMACCCCAAATTTTGAAATTCTMTAGTGTATAGTACTWTCTTTTGTGACAATTTTCTTCACCATCATGCTAGTGTGCAATTTGCAGCGACGCCATGATGGGAAATGTCATCCTCGCACTTCYTTACGWCCTCTAGTTTACATCAGGAGATAAAAGGGTGTAAGGACTACGTACATTTCTCAACCTGGTTGTAATAATATGGCGTTCTTGTACACTAATAAGGGAYGYTTACCCATAAAAGCTGACAACGAAGTAAAAATATAGTTCGGATTGTTTCAATCTCTTATCAGCTTCTGCTCGATTACTGTGTTTTATATTTTTGAGTGTGAGTGAGATATCACCTTACTTGATATCATATTGTACATAAATGACTGAAGTGTGTATTGTGGTTTTGATATTAAAGCGATTTTACTAAATATGCCTCGTTCGGATTGTTTATATACGGACTCATCATCAGTCCTTTTTTTTATCCATATGGGTCTAATAATCATGAAGCAACAAATTTCAAGAAGATATTGATACAAATTCTTAATAATTTGGGCAAAAAATGTTGGAGTAGATGAACCATATACTCCATCCTTTTGTTCTTTAATCTTTTGAATAAAAATTTCTCTGATGTGGGATAATTCCAAAACACATATTTAATTTTCCCGCAATTATTTTTAATAGATATAAGTGAGTCATATATTTGTATTGCTTGAAGTTTTGAAATAAGGCCATTTTCATGCAAGTAGCACTTTTAAATTCATTCAAGTTTTAATTGAAATCATTCAAATAATTTGAAACTCAAATCCGTTAAAATTCTTGGAGAACTTGCCGGAAAAAAATAAGTTTTGAGATAAATGGGGCAAACTGATCATGCGCGAATCACTTGACAAAGCACTCTTGTCATCCCGCATTGARTACGCATAAAGTAAAATAACCGCTCTTGGCTGTTCACTGCAATCGCTTGACATCCTGCATTGGTCAATGATCAGGTATCAAACCTGACACCTTTGCTAGGGTCATGGACCTTTATATCTGATAAAGGTCACCCTTATTAGTATTCTTTATATCAAGAATACTAATAAAATATAAAGGTCCATGCATGTGACCAAATAGGCTCATTCTATTGGCCTAATAACTCATTAATTATGTATGAGTTTTTTAAATATTAGCTGTACTGATTCTCTCGTTTATATTTTTAAATAATTCAAGGAGATTGAAGATGGGTCATAGCYTTCGAGCTTTTCAATTTTTTGTTCGTTTTGTTTGTTTTCTTTTTTGTTGTTTCAATCTCAGCTATTATTAAAAATAGAATTCTTATTGTAAGGAAGGAATTTGTTCATGAATATTGTTTCCATTTATTTTTTTAAAACATTTTCAAATTTTCCAGTTTTTTACTTACAACATTATCAAATTTTTGTTGTTGCTCTTGTTTAAATCACATGACTTTGAATGAAAATATTTGATTTATTCTCTGAAATTATTTTAATAACACAGTCTCTATCGTGTTTTAAACTATACGTACACATTTTGAATCCAATTRTTGATAGAGTTTTTAAAATGGACCAAACCCTAGCTAATAAATATAGATTGACAGACTCTCCAATAGCAGGGTGGGATTTAGACCAGTGCTCTTACCTGCTAATGACCGGAGGCTTACTTAAACGAAGGGTTTTCAATKTTAGGACTTACCAGTAAGTCATTACAGTGAAGTGCTATAAATTAATTACGAGACTGAACTAAAGCCACACGAACAAAGCTAAAAGCATAAGAAATCTCATTGGGCTAACAAAGTCATATCGACAAGATTCAGCTCTGGACAAGAAATGGCAGGAATACATGGTATGGCTTTAATCTTTTTTTTCTGGTAAATGTTTTGATTTTATACGAATTGTGTATAAGAAGTGGCAATAATTTTATTTTTACTCGTTTCTTTTCCCTATTTGTATTTCAAAAAGGATCGAGAAGGTGTTGTACATAAGTGTTTAACCCACCTTAATTTTACCCTGCAAGCGTCAGGCGCATATACTTTCTTTTTCCATTCCCAAGAAGATCTGACCAAGATCATAAGAACACTGTGAATACTAAAATACTAGAACTTTTTACTTAAAACTATAAACTAGTTTTTGACGGCTAAAAGGCTGTTGAATGCGTTAAGGTCGATCCGCTATGAGCGTAAGGACGCGGTACGACAAAAAACGGCAAATCTATGCTAGATTTACACAGTACGCGAAATAATTACAGGGTATTTACAGAATAATATATCATGTTAAGTTAAAATGAGCGTAAGGGTCGATTTAATGTATTTTAAAAAGGATTTCTAATACTTTTTTTTACATTATAGTTCTAAATCAATAATTTTTTCCCAGTGCTAAGAAAGGTAATAAATTGTTCTGATTAATGAAGCCAACAAGCTCTATGTTATGTATAATGAATGTTTTTATTCTCGTTTCTATTATTTAATTAGTATTTAGTCATCTTAATGAGCAGGCCTAGTTGTTGCTAGGCCTAGTTGTTGCTAGGGACGTAACTGTTAGTGTTGCAGGGAGGACTGTTGAACACTTCACAACGACTGAAAAGGTAAAGTGTTTATATTTTCTTTAGATAAAATCCTAACTGATAACTAACTGATATCCTAACTGTTTTGCTGAAKATATTTTCTATATGTGAATTTCAATGATGAATAAGACGATTATTGTTCTACCGACAATTTGCTTGCTCAATATGTTAACGACTTATTCATCGGAGTATTTGCGCTGGAGGCGGAAAGAAAGAAATGCATTCCCGGAATGCCAGAATTTATATTATTATATACTATCTGGAAGCTTTTCAAGGCGTTTTTAACAAAATATATCRTGGATGCAATGTTAATAATAGAGTATTTTTTATACTGCTCAACTAAAAAATCAGTTATTCTATGAATGTAGATTAAACTTTTTAYACCCATCGGAAATWGGCGATCCAACGGKAAGTTSGACGACATTCGAAGTCGACCAGAAAAATAACCAATCTTCATTATMAATAAAYCTAAAAGKGGCTAGAATCACTAAATAACAAAGGATTAYCTGTTGGAAATTCGAAAAGATCACCACCATGTGGCCATAAGTCCYAAATTCCGTACAGAAATGCATGCGAATGGTTAAACGGATTTCATTCTACAAATTTGGTGAGCTTGCGAGAGGTGGAATCGCCACCTCATGGAGTYACTGATCWTACGTGTCTAATTTAAGGTTTGTTTTATTTTTCCCCAGTGGTGATGACAATTTATCAGACTACATTCAAACTCAGTACTTGATCTCGAATCTCGTTGGAATCATGAACAATCTCGGATCATCAGAATCCTCTTAAAGTCCACAAAAATGTTTTGTTTTGTTTTTTGTTTTTCAAAAAATATCAACACCATTGAGAGTTGATTAATTTGTATACATAAAATTTTCTTTTGAAAGTGATGCTGCCACATTGCTACCAATCATACCACAGTCTCTTAGAAACATGAGAACTGCCATTTATACTGATAAATACCTTTCCAATGAACACCAATACAATACTTTTCGCATCAGCACATTCAGTTCTATTTCAACGAAGGAGTTGCTGTATGTTTTCGCGTAAAAAAGAATATATCGAGAATGATTAAGATTTTTAATCATAAGTTCAAAGCAAATATTTCATTCAGTATTTGACATATGTGTGGCGATTATTGAATAAGACTGAAAGTTACTAACAAGCGGGGAGATTTTACAAGAGCCGGACAAAAARTCGGTCTAGTTTAGTTTTGATTTCTTTTCTGTTACTCAGTGTATTATATAGATCATTACATCTGTTAAAACGAGGCTCTCAAAAAACGAGGTAWTTGTATGCGTTGATCGAGACATCATGCGCATAATCTAAATGACTGGGATACCACAAACACACACAAAAAAAAAGATTACACAAGTTAATTTCAAAAAACAATGCTTTGTCGATCGTATAAAGTAATATCTAAAAAGAGCCTGTCGTAAAAAACAACTTCCTTATTTTTTTCAACATTTTTTGTTTGAATTTTAACCAATTTTCGGTATTTCTTTGTTGTTATTTCTTGTCAAACTATAAGCTTTCCCAGCTTGATTCTGTAAAGGACGGAGATTGGCAATTGCGAACGGGGAACTATAACGAAATGAGCTATTCTCGCGGTAATTGATTCCATCCAGGACACATCCACTAATTATTATACTTAATAAAAACAAACTGCAGGCTACAAACTGTGATTATTTAGGTTCTTTTGATCGTATAATCTTGGTTTTCAGATATCAAAAAGTTCCGAAAATCAGGTTTCGACGCGGACTCATCTTTCTTTAAAATACTGAGATAATAAAATAATGAGAAAAACCCTCGCACAAAACAGGCTGCTGACTCATTAGAAAGTCGCTTGTTAAAAATAAATATGTCTAAGCCAAACGTACGGTGATTTATAAAAGGAAATTAAATGCATCATGAAACGGAAAAAGCGTTTGCTCCTGTCCAATTTCTTACCCCAAAAGTCTATAAAACATTTTCAATTGAGCTTTGATTCTGACAAAGTCACCATCTGTTTCCTGAGTGGCTCTCTCATCGTCGTCAGAAGTTATAATAGTAGCCAACGTCAATCTTTCAAGTGACAATTGCTTTGAATATACCCCTTTTCGATTATGACTTTGATTACCTAAAATTTAGTCGATCTGAGACGGAAAAGCATGATGGGACAGTTTTATATCGAGTATAATACCGCGCAGACTACGATAGATTTTAAATTTCACTGTCCGTTGGATATATATTGGTCAGTATTTATAATTATATGAAGAAATTAAGCTATCAGGTATGTTGAAGATGATAGAAAGTGTTTTAATCGTAAGTCCTATGACGCGTCCACTTTATGACGTGCAACTTTCTTCAGAGATACGTTACCAAATAAATCGCAGTGCTGTCTCTAAGGAAAAATTAAGGTTCCCTTTTTGAACCATTCACCTCTGAGGTCAGTTTATCTGCGTACGAGATCTGCGAAATGGTCTCCACTTCTTGTAACCAAATAGGTGTTCACGTTTGGAATAACTCTTGTGTCCGTACACTTTGAAGAGCGAGCAAACCCATGTAAACAAAACTCCAATCTGTCCCGAAAAGAGTTTACGGTCTCGTGCAGGCATAGTTTTTAAAAGTAAACATCTAAAAAAAAACTGAGTGAACAGCTCCGTGCAAGTGAAATCTAAATCGTCAGTATCTGCTTTTTACGTAACTATAAGACTTTTTATAGGAAAGCATTTCTTATATGATATATGTTATGTTTGTTAAACGTTCGTGACGATCCAAAGTAAGTTCAGCTCTACTCAGTTGGTGACCAGCAGACTCCGACTGTTGGAACGTTATAAAAAAAGGACAGAATAACAAAAAATCACACGATCTTAGAACAAGTTTGAATAGA